GGGTAAAAAGATTTAAATTATATGCAAATTAATAATAGGTAAATACTGTACTTTGAGTCTTTGACTAGATCTAAGTAAGTCAAGTATTTGTTCCTCTCTCACGAGATTTTCGTGGTCAATTATAAGAGCTTTCGAAAATGACACAACGTCTAGAAATTTTGAACTCTTTCTTATCTGTGTTTCAAATTCCAACCTATAAATAACGTATCTTACCAAAAACAAATTAGTCTAAATCTCACCATTGGTAGTTTATGTGAAGCAAACAACATTCAAGTCTAGCATTAACAAACAAAAAAACATTTAAAGCAATGACAACAAAAACAAAATCTATGAATTATTGGATGGAAAAATAAAATAAATAAAAATGTAAATAAGAAATTGGTAGTAAATGCGCTCTGTCTCTGTAGGGTAAAAGAAAAAAAAAGAAATGTGATGTGTGTGTATATAAACAGATCTAAAGCACCACAAATCTGACGGTCCATAGAAAGAAAAAAGGCTTTAATAACTGTGCCACTAGAAACCCTCTCAAGTCTCAACACTGACACTAAATTCAATGGGAGAGGTTAGTGTGTTTTTCAAATTTACACAGCCAAACACTATTAGGGCATCCGCAGTGGTGTAACCTTGCGTGGGGTGTATCTATTTTAAAATACAGAAATAATGTAAAAGTTGTCTCTCTCTTCACACCCGGGTGTAAGTTTACACTCGGGTGTAAGCCACTCTATCTCTCTCTCTCTCTTTCTTTCTCTCTCTCTTTTCTCTCTCACTTTAAATTATAATAATAAAAAAAATCTTACACCCCTCCCTCACACTTACACCACTGCGGATGGTCTTATTGTCTATTGACCTCTCAAATATATTTCTCCTTATTTTTGCCATTTTCAGGAAGATAAGAAAATGGAGGAGAAGAAAGCTGAAGAGCCTCAAGTGAAATCAGAAGATAAGAAACCAGAAGAAGAGAAGAAGAAAGAGCCTCAAGAGATTGTGCTTAAGATTTTTATGCATTGTGAAGGTTGTGCTAAAAAAATCCATAGATGTCTTAAAGGCTTTGAAGGTACTATTTAATTATTTATCACATTCTTTTAGTTATAACCATAAGAGTGTTTAGTACTTGAAATTTTTTTAGCTAATTTTGGGATTATTGCAAATGTTGATAGGAGTGGAAGATGTAACTACTGATTGTAAAACTAGTAAAGTTGTGGTGAAAGGAGAGAAGGCAGATCCATTAAAAGTATTGCAAAGATTGCAAAGGAAGAGTCACCGTCAAGTGGAGCTTATCTCACCAATTCCGGAGCCTAAACCGGTTTCCGATGAACCGGAGAAAAAGGAGAAGGAGAAACCTAAACCTGAGGAGAAAAAAGAAGAGGTATATTTTGTAATATGTGTAAGATTTTGGGGGTTAGGTTTGTAATTTAAAGAAAGTTTGTTGGCTTTGTGTAATTAACAATAAGATTTTGTGGGCACTGAGAAAAAAAAACAGGTAGTGACAGTGGTGCTGAGAGTTCACATGCATTGTGAAGCATGTGCCATGGAGATTCAAAAGAGAATCATGAGAATGAAAGGTTTGTATTTTTTTTATAACCTTTCTCATTTAAATTTTTGTTAAAAATATTACTGAATTGGGTACGATTTTTATTGATTCTGAGTTTTAATTCTGAATTTGTGGGACTACACTTAATTGGGACATCAAGTTTTGGACTCTTCTATGTGTCATAAATTGATTCCAACTCTTTTTATTTTAGTTGAAAGTGTGTGTACTATGTAGGACCTTTTTTAAACATAGCAATTTGAAAAAGCATGTGTTTAGTGAATCTTTCATTCACTATTCACCAGATTATTGTTTTTATAATCATATAGTTACAAATCTTTCTTCTTCACATATATTTTTGTTTGTTTTGAGTGTTTCAAGATTACATAAATTATACGAGTTGTGTTGAATCGAGTCTAACTAAAGTCAACTACTTTAGTTTTACTTCACCTATTCCCCAAGAATCCCAAAGTTCTAAACACTTTTTTTTTTTAATTAGGGTTTATATGTCATATATCCTGATTTTGTAATTATCTGAAACTGCAATATATATCTGTATGCCATGTACTTTGTTTCAGGGAAGTGTGGTTAATTATGTTAGGTAGAAATTTATTGGCCAAAAGATTACATTGGTGACTAGAGAATTGAAATTAGTTTCGTACAATGACCTGATTGGATAGTTGATTCGACTTTTTGTAATGCAAATAGTTTATTATTTGAATATAATATATAATTAGTTTACATTTTCATATAGAAAATTAAGTCATAACATGTTTTTTGTTTTTTTGTTTGTTTATATATATATAGGAGTGGAGTCTGTGGAACCAGATTTTAAAGCATCACAAGTGAGTGTGAAAGGAGTTTTTACACCGGAAAAGCTAGTTGAGTTCATTTACAAGAGAATCGGGAAGCACGCCGCGGTTGTGAAGCAAGACCCGCCGCCAAAACCACCGGAGAAAGAAAAAGAAACTAAAGACAAAGATGAGAAGAAGAAGGAAGAGGGACAGCCCAAAGAAGGAAAAGATGCCAAGGAAGATGGTGGAGGAGGAGGTGCTAAAGGCGATGGTGCTGCCGCGGGGGAGGGGAACAAAGTGGTAGACCTAAAGAAGAACGAATATCAGTACCAGCCACCGAGGTATCCGGTGGAGATGTTTGCTTATCCACCGCAGATATTCAGTGATGAGAACCCCAACGCTTGTACCATTATGTAATAAAACCGTCGGTTTAAGGGGTTGTAGGATTTATTTATTTTTAGTTTATGCCGTATTTTATTTTGAATGTACTATTTTTGGTTTCAACCGAATTAAATGTCGTATTTATAAAATTATCATCCATGTAGAGAGATTTGAGTCTCTGAATCGATCCAAAAGAAAACATCTATTCATTCTTGCAACCTTTTGTCCTTATATTGGGAAAAGCTCCACTAAAACTTGTAGATAAGAAGTGTTTTAGTTAACATATATATCACCAATTCACCATGATCTATCAGAGTTATAAACTTAAATCAGTTTTTCAGTTACCATTTCTCTTATAAAATGTTGACTACATTTGTATGCTTCATCATTTTATGGTGGACACTATTTTATGAAAGACAATTAGCTGACTAGTACTCATAAATACTTTTAACACAATTTGCTAACAACCAAACTCTTGTAAGATTCCTTTTACCTGAATTTCTTCTCTAGTAACATCAGTCAAGGTCATACACACTCAGCTAGTGTTGTTGACAAACTACAACAAGCCGTAAAGAAGACCTCCATTTAACGACATTCCTCTAACACGGAAGACATAAGTAGAGATTAATTTTCTTTTGTCAAAATCAAAGGCATAATATGAATCACAAAATCCTATATTTATGAAATTATCACTAAATATAAAGTATAATTTTTTTTACCAATTGTTCTCTTTATATGTTTTAGCAATTAATTTAGTGCTTGCTAGTGATCTCAAGAAGTTTTTGTACGGAGTTTAGACCATGACTTTTACTAAGGTTTTAAATGTTACCAGGTAGTGAATGGTGCTCTCTAAGTAAAGGCCAAAATGATTTTAAAAGTGGAAGAGAGAAGAAGTTTGGCTGTGTTGGAATCAGTTAAGCATTATCTAACATATCGTCCTGTCATTCTATAATCGTGTGACTATGGTTGATAGCCAAAGCATTATATAACATATCAAAAAACCGTTGCACCTCTATTTTCAGCTCCATAACAAAATTCCCAGCTTCCACAATTAGGGATGTAGTATTACGAAACACATTTGTCACCCTATATTCAACAGTTCCTTTAATGTATTTAGACATTTCAACTAATGTTATAAGTGATAGGTTGTTATGATACATAAAAAAAATGTGTAGCGTGTAACTGGTGCATGTTTAGAAGAAAAATAATTGGAAAAAGTTAGAAGAAATTTTGCTTATAAATTTTATGAGAGTAAAGTTTTTTACTGGAAAAAAAAAACTTTCTATAGCGTGAATAAAAATATATGGGTCCAGAAGATATCAGATAAAAATTATTTCTTCTCAGTGTCCACCAATGACCAAGCCTATAAGGTAAAGTAACCAAATTTTCTCTATGAATAAAATCTAAATAATAATTTGGCAAAAACCCATTCTGATACTAGGGCTTTTAAATACTATCGACATGGATATATCTTCATTATCGCAACATATAAGACTTTATCACTATTTATGGAATATTTGTAAGAGATTTGTGAAATATTTATAGAATATTTAAATATTCATATATTTATTGAATATATTAAACTAATAATGAATGGTATAAAATGTAAACTTTCATAAAATAAATTATATATATATTTTTTTAAAAAAATTAAAATATAGAGGATTTTATTTTTACTCTTGATTTTATCCTTTTAAAATATATATTATTGGTAAGAAAACATGATAGATATAGATAATATAGGTTTAATTTTATTTTTTGGATAAAAAATGATTTAAAGACAAGATAAGATTTACTAGTTAGTATTTAGATAATTAACTAGTTACACTGATTTATAAATAAAGGACTAATGATAAATATCAAGAAAGCATGGAAAATCACAATAAAGAGAATCCTACCGACATCTGGCCTTCATTGGCCGGTGACATGTCGGACACGCTCAAGTTAGAATCTGATACTCTTTGTTAGAGGTGTCAGCCCACGTGTCCGGTATACTCATGACACTAAACCAAATACAAACCGAACCAGAATCGTAAACCGGACTTAACTTTTTTTTTTTTTCCATTTTTTAAACCGGACTAACTTACTCGGATTTGATCGACCGTCTTACGGTTTTAGCGTGCCAAATGCAAAATAGTTATATGATTACCAAGAAAGAAAAAAAAAAACTAATTTCATCGGTTTGGTATCTAAAATAAGAAAACCAAATGCCCCGGTTTGAACGTGAACCAAATTATGCATAACCGTTTTTAATGTCCAAGACAGTATAAATAAATAAGATCTCTCTAATCGTGTTGTTTCAGAAAACAAGAGCGTCCTTTGATTGGTTTTGGATTTTGTTGTGTTCCTCTCAAAATGACAAAATTATGGACTCTTCTCTCTGCTCTTCATTCCCTCGCTGGGTATATTTATTCTTCTCCTATTCTTGTTAGATTTTTGATATTTATTCAATTTATGGTTTGATTATTTTATGATAAGATTAAATTCCACAACTGAAAATAATATTATGATTTTGTGTTTTGTTTTATGGTACGATCATACGCAGACCCGTGGTGATGTTGCTTTACCCGTTGTAAGTAATTTCATATTGTTTCTATACATTTTTGTTTGGTTTTATTTTAAAGATTCTGATTTGGTTTTTGTTCCTTTTATTGTTGATGATATTGATAAAGATATGCGTCGGTGATAGCAATAGAGAGCCCATCAAAAGTAGATGATGAGCAATGGCTTGCTTATTGGATTCTCTACTCTTTCCTTACTCTATCAGAACTCATCCTTCAATCTCTCCTAGAGTGGTAACAATCGAATTTCCTATGTCTCATTTCTTGTTATGTTTTTGTTATGGTACGTAATAGTATTAAAATGGAGAAAATGGTGAAAATATCTCGAACATATATAGGATACCGATATGGTACACGGCTAAGCTAGTGTTTGTGGCATGGTTGGTGCTGCCGCAATTTAGAGGGGCTGCTTTCATATACAACAGGATCGTGAGGGAACAGTTCAAGAAGTATGGCATCCTCAAACCTAAGGTTAACTAATTCATCCTTCTCATTTTTTCCTTTTTCGTTTAATTTCTTATGAACTAAGTTTATATCTTAATTTCGTAAAGATACTTGATTAAAAGTTGTTATGGTGGGAAAAAAAGTCTTTGTGCGGGCCAAACCTTGTCTTTAGCAGGTTGGTCCGTAGGAAGACCAGTTTAATCCCGGTTTGATTCGAGTTTAAACATTTTACAAACCGGATGGACTATATTAAGTTCATGAATTCGCCATTTTCTTTAAAAAATGGTTTCAAGGTTAGTTGCGGGTTGGCCCGTAGTTTGTAAACCAAAGAAAACATAACTTTTTTAAAACAGGATTAAAACCAGTTCGATTAAAAACATGGTGCACTTGGAACGGATTATGTTCAAGAGGGGCACATCAATCCATGACAACAATCCTAAGTCTATCGTTCGCTCAAATTGATAGAAGAAAAAAAATAACACGTAATTATATAGTGTCGAGGGAAACACTTGCAAAAAGTTCTAGAAGCTTGGCTGGTTTTGTCACGGATGGGACTTGTTGTGTTTTTTATGTAAAAAATATTTAATGAATAGATATAGTAATGTGTTTACGGTCATTTTATTTTAAAATTTGGTGTTTGGAATACAGGTAGAGCATCAGGCTGAGTGAGTGAAAAAGAGGAGGGGACACAAGAGGGCATTTCACTGTTGGGGCTTCCAGTTTCTAATATCTTTATGCTTTTTCTCTTTTGTCTTATATCTCTTTTGTTATACGGAAAAATGGGTGTGGATGTTGACTATAGGAGTTCCTATGAGCCTCTTGCTTTAATGTATGCGAAAAAATATTGTTGATAAAATATAAGAGTTATTTGCGCTTTAGCACACTTTTTTTTCCCCTCTTTGCACTTTGACACACTTTGACACTGTTCCCATCTTTTTTCTTGTGTTAAGACATTTATACCCTCAAATTTGTTTTCTCTCTCGTTATCCAACTCTAACCATAGAGACAAACTTGACTCGCTCAATCTCTCGCTATCTCTCCACAATTTGCTGCTTTAACCTCTCTCTCTCATCACCATGTGGGATGTGGCTCTATCGTTCCTTACTTACTGTAGCTTTTTCTCTCTCTCGAAGACACTCAATTTTTTTTTTAGATCTGGTTTCTCAGTTCCATTAGATCTCCAGTGAAGGTCTTGGCTTTGCAAAAAGGGAAGCAGTGGTGAGCGAGAAGGCTTCTCCGGCAGCGGTGGTGTGGTAATCTCCCATTCGATGTTGCTGCGGCTCCCCTTTTGATGGAAAAGTAGCGTCGCGGTCGAGTTGGTTGAGGACGCTGGTTTTGTTCGCGGCGGAGTGGTCTTGTGGCTCATCCGTCCAATGGGACGCTGCGGTAGCGGCATAAGTCGATGGGAGAAGGTGGGTTTGGTTGCTTTGTTGTGGTGGTTATCTGTAGATCTATTGGATCTTAGATGGCGGTTGTGGGCGACGGTTTCTGAGTTTTGGATTGAGCCAACGGCCTCTGCAACCTCCGCGATTTGCTTCCACCACATCGGATTGATGCGTTTCTTTCTCGGGGAAAATGGACAATGAACGGTGCAGATCTCGTAGTTGACTTGGTAGCGCCAAAAATAAAAAACCTAGTCGATTCAAGAGAAGGCTTTAGACCTAGTCGAGTTCACTGGATCGGTGACTCAGGCGATTCCTGGTCCTCGAGTTGGAAGTAGCAAATTGCCGTGGATGCTCGCCGTTCCGTTACCTTACGCCGGCGTCACTTTCGTCACTGCTTTCGTTAAAACCGTTCAGAAGTTCTCTTCTCCTAAAGCTCAACGCAAGAAACTGGTCTCTGATTCCACTCTCTCTTTTGTGATCCTTACTTGACCAACAAAAAAGCTGATTCAATTTTGGTTTTTTTTTTACTCTTCAGGTGAATCAGAATGCTATGCTTTGCAGATCTATAGATGAGCTATTACGGAAAGATGGAACAGTGCATAGCGCTGAGCTTAAGGCACTTGAACAAAAGGTGCGAATATATATACATGTAACTGATGTTTTGGTTTGATCTCTGCTAAATCATTCCAGTTCAGAATTTGACATGAGAATGCTGAATTTTGTTTTCTACAATCCAGACAGAGTTTAACATTACAAGGCTGTTGCACTGTAAGTTCTCTTCCAAGATCGTCAAATTTAGTTTGGAAACCAAATCTTGATTCTTCAATCTTGGAAAAGGTTTTGAAATTTCCACTCTGATTCTTGTTTGCAGGTAGAGTTCTTGATTTGCTTGGTGCTGACAATCTTAGGATACATCCCAGAGATAAATTATGCACTATACGTGATCGTGTTTCAAAACCGTGAAGGCTCTCACGAACTCGGAGCACCACTCAACTAACCTTTGAAACTGTTTTACTTATCCTTTATGTTCCAAATAAGTTGCTTTGCAATTTTCCGAATCATCCAAAATTCTCTGTTTTTTTGGTTAACCATCATTAAAAGGTTAATGAAACATTGGCCTAGATATCTTGTGAAAGAGATAAAACGAGTTTCATAGTACACGTCTTCGTTCCACAGATTGCACATTTGCTTGTACTCCAAAGTTTATATTTTTGCTACACCAATTGTCTCGAATACTAATCTGGAACTTGGATTTCTAAAGATGACAATAGTAAAACTCACAAATCAGCTTGCGTAGCTTAGTATTATAATGTTTTGTGGATAATTGATGAGACTCCTATAATTATATTGATTGTAAGATTTGGTTACAAGAAGAATTATTGTATGGTATGTATGGTTATATGAATATAATCTAATGGATATGAACAAATGGATAGCTAAAATAATTGAATTACATTTTATTAAATGGATATGAACTAATTGATTGATATGAACAAATTTGTTGCTAAAATAGTAGAATATTGTGTCGTTGTTTTTAATGTAAAAAAAAAAAAAAAAAAACATGTTAACATGCATCTTGAACATATATTTTTATGGCAAGTTTAAACGGACACAAATTATGATTACTATTTGTTCTAAAATTTTAATGTAATGTTCTTTTGGATACTTAGAAAACATAATTAGGCACAAATACCAAATTTTATGGTGTTAGTATTTGAAAGATAATAATGGTAAAATCGTTATTTTAAATTTTGGTCAAATATTTGTTCGTATAGATTATACCATCTGGACATAGTTTCGTGGACGACAATAATAAGTTCGAAATAAAGGTACCAATAACTTTCTTTTCTTCTCCAAATTCATAGAACAAGAATGGTAGTAGGAACCTACTCCCATCGTAAATTCCATATGGACAGTTTTTTATGTTCCATTTTAGTGTTTGACTGAATATTTTCCTACTCGTATGGTCACTTCCATGTGGATAAATTATTAAAATGGTTAAGTGTTTAGGTTTTAGTCTAAAGTTTAGGGTTTGTAGGTTAAGAGTGTGTTTCAGTTTATCAAATAGAAATGTTATAAAATTCATTGTTTAGGGTATAGAGTTTAGGGTTTAGACTGTATATATATAAATAAAGTTATATATTGATTTGGGTTTATAAAGTAGGGATTTGGGTTTATAAAGTAGAATATTGTGTCGTTGTTATTAATGTAAAAAAATTTTAAAAAAACATGTTAACATGCATCTTGAACCATATATTTTTATGGCAAGTTTAAACGGACACAAATTATGATTACTATTTGTTCTAAAATTTTAATGTAATGTTCTTTTGGATACTTAGAAAACATAATTAGGCACAAATAACAAATTTTATGGTGTTAGTATTTGAAAGATAATAATGGTAAAATCGTTATTTTAAATTTTGGTCAAATATTTGTTCGTATAGATTATACCATCTGGACATAGTTTCGTGGACGACAATAATAAGTTCGAAATAAAGGTACCAATCACTTTCTTTTCTTCTCCAAATTCATAGAACAAGAATGGTAGTAGGAACCTACTCCCATCATAAATTCTGTATGGACAGTTTTTTATGTTCCATTTTAGTGTTTGACTGAATATTTTCCTACTCGTATGGTCACTTCCATGTGGATAAATTATTAAAATGGTTAAGTGTTTAGGTTTTAGTCTAGAGTTTAGGGTTTGTAGGTTAAGAGTGTGTTTCAGTTTATCAAAGAGACATGTTATAAAATTCATTGTTTAGGGTTTAGAGTTTAGGGTTTAGAGGTATATATATAAATAAAGTTATATATTGGTTTGGGTTTATAAAGAAGGAATTTGGGTTTATAAAGTAGGGGTTAGGGTTTAATATTATATATCTAAAAGAAGTTAATTATCGGTTCGGGTTTAGTAGGTAGGGGGAAGGGTTTAGTGTTAAACTTTTAAACCGAATGTTTATCTCGTTTCAGGTTTATATTGTTAATGAAGTTAGATATCGGTTTGGGTTTAGTAAGTAGGGGATAGGGTTTAGTGTTATATATTTAAAAGAAGTTAAATATTGGTTTGGGTTTAGTAGGTTGGGAGTAGGGTTTAGTGTTAAAACCTTTAAACCAAATTAACATCTCGGTTTAAGTTTAGTAGGTGGGGGGTTGAGTTTAGGTGGTTGCGCTATAGTGACCATCCACATATGCTTATCTCCCATATAAATTGTTTACACTAAATTTTCTTCTTCATCACTTGAACCGTCACTGATAGATAACTATGTTTTTGTTTGATGTGAACATAATAGCCATGAGAGAGAGAAAGAAAGTGTTAAAGAAGAGAGAAAGAAAAAAAAGTTGACGAGAAAATAAATCTCTCTCAGTGGATGGTCACAACTGTTGCATAATATAGTCAAGGTCGACCACATGGATGAATAAGGATAAGATTTTTCGGTGGACTACTACATCCGCCAAATTCTGGTCAACTGTCTGTTGTTCATATTTTACTATTAAACATGTTTTTTTGTTTATCTGACCATCCAACACTAAGCACATAGTTTATCAGAGTGATTTAAATAATAATGAAACGATATTATTATCCATATCACATCGTCCAGAATACATCATCCAAATGAAATGCTTATGCTGGATTGCATGAAATTTCGTATCTGATACTTAAAATATACTAAAATGGATCTTAAAATGACAGAAAGATTATATTTATGATATATTGTACATAAATTATTTTTTTTATGTTTTTCATAATAAAGAAAATGAGTAAACAAAACATGGAGGGGACTATAATTTATTTATTTATCTGAGTTCAATCACATCCGTACGATTTTATTCCTATCAATGGCCAAGATTCTTTTAATCTGAACCATCTGATCTTAATTGGACACATTTAATCTGACGGTTCCCACAACTTTTAGTTTGATTCCCTCTCATTACACATCTAGTTCAAGGGCAATATGGTATTGATTTTTTACGAACAGTGGAAAAAGATGGAAACATAAGGAAAGTGTCTGTTTTGATTACAAAGTTGAAAAAAGTGTCCCAAAGTGCACATCACCCAAAATATAATTAAGAGACTATAAATTTAAGTGGTAGGGGTAGAATCTGGAAAAAATAATGATCACTACTAAAATCTCTTGAAAGATTAATAGTAATTTTCAGCGGACTCTTACGGATTATTAAATTACTACTTCTTCCGTTTTTAATTATATGTATATGTTGTTTAAAGTTTTTATACGCAAATTAAAAATAATTAAAAATTTTGTTTTTACCTTTTAATTATATATTATATTATATAAATTTTTTTATTGTTCAATACATTAAAACAGTAAGGATAGAACAATAATTTTTGAAAACCTAAGACAATATCTATTGTAAAACAAATTTAAAGTTTTAAAATGACAATCAAACTGAAATGGAAGGAGCTAGGAAGATACTTTACCAAGAAGACTAATAAAAGATTTATAAAATATTGAGTTATAAAATTAATAATTTATTAAAAATGAGCATCATATAAACAACATAAACCTTGCAATTTTACGTTTATCATCTAAACCCTGCAATATAGAAATCCATAATAGTAATCGATTAGTGAACGTGTTCTATATATAAATTCAAGTAATATTAATCCCCGTAGATTATAAATCACTTATTTAAAATTCAAAACACTAAAAATCTTTAACGCACAGATATTTTAAAATTTTCACATTAAAGTTTTGGTCTTATACCCTTAGGCCTTAACCTTACACACTAAAGTTAAAACATTCACGCGTTAGTATATCCAAGAATAGGAGGCGGGAGGATCAGTAAAATGATTTTCTTTGTCAACACATAATCTCATGTTTGGAGCAAAAAGAGCCACTTTTTAAATTTGCTCTCGTTATATAGAAGAAGGGTTTATACAATTTTGATGGAGACATTTGCACCCACACTATCATCACCATTGGTTATTTTCTGTGGCTGTCTAAGTTTATTTTTTATAATTAACTTTAATATTATTTAATTATGAGTAGAATGTGTATCAATGTTTTTAAGTGTCTACTTAAAGATACGTTGGCATACTCTAAAAACACTTCTAATTAAACAACATTAAAATTAATTGTTAAAAAAATTTTAGACACCCACTAAAAATGATCAACAAGTTAGTACATATATCGTTCCTCTCATGCATATTCTAACACTATACAGATCAACTAGTTTCTTCTAAAAAAAAAAAAAAAAAAAAAAAACTAGTTTCTTCTAACGTAGTCCCACTCTCACAAGAGCCGGTCTTAAGGAGAGCAAAGTGAAAAATTGATATAAGACTTCATTCTTGTGGGGTTTACGTAAAAATATTTTTTGGCAAATATTAATATCAAATTTTTAGAAAGAGTAACATAAAATATTAATGTGGAATTGTGGATTTTAACAATACAAGATAGCTTAATATTTTTATGAACTCTATAAATTTAAATAACTGAAATTGATATAGACCCGTTTTTATTTCGTATGGTCGCAATTGACCTGCTCACAAACCATAATGCAATCATCAATCAGTCGATCATTATTACACATGCACACTACGCATACCAATACGATACCATTCCAGACCATGATTTTCATCCTATTGATACCTCGTGAAACCCTCAAATTCATTTATTGACTTGTAACTTTTGTACATAAATTTGCATTTTCTTTTATATTAAGATGTTTCAACAAATAATAAACAAGCAATGCTTTCTCTGACATTTGGCCATGTATTATTTTGATATACGACCTTCGCCTATATGGCTATGTAACCGCCCAATTTCGAGCCTCCTCTGTCTGTTCACACGAGCGATCAGATCATCAGCCCTCTGGTTTAATGAATCCATCTCCAACGGACTAATTAGCTTACATCTTTTGCCTTCTCCGAGCCTCGGTCGATCAGTATTTTCTTTCATAAATCGTTGATATCCCATTTCCACCCTCGCATTTTCATGAGACCACAAAGAACAAGAACGACTTCTTGGTAACTCGCTATCTGGAAGAGAAGATCTTGCTCTAGAAAACCTTGATTCTCCGATGAGGGTGATGACGATGACATTTGTGAGAAGGAATAAAACCTTAGGTTTTAAGATGTAATTAATAACTCTTGGGATGGTGAATAAGAAAAAACTATTAGAAAATTGAAGCCAAATCGGGCTAAAAACTACAATAACGCAGAAAACAACTAGAATAAATGACAAGGAAAGGCGGTCGAGGATATTAACAACTGGCTTCTTGTAGGTTCTTGGTCCGTTGTTATATTGGGTCTCTTGCATGGCGGTTACGGGTTCCATTTATGCTATAAGCAAATAAGGTTTTGGTGAAAATAAAGATGGATTATCTTGATGTAGCAGCAAAAGAAACTTAGGGTACTAAAGGATATGAATGTGACTAGACATGGAGTGGCTAGACTATTTTGGAACAATATTTATAGTGCGTACTTGCATGCAGCACATGTGGGTTTAAGGGTTCTTCATCGTTAAGATTAAACTAATCACATGCTTGAGCATTTTATTTTACTTAATTTTAGCTTTCTTAGTAACCATGTGGGCGTGCAAACACTTTTGAATTATTAACTGTCTTTTTAACTTCTTTTAGTATTTTGTTGTCTTTCACCAAATCCATTTTGGGGTGTTTAATTAAATTGGATGTAGAGGACCAATCCTTAGTTAAAGCTGAACAAAGCATGTTGAGGACCATATCTTAAGATGGTGTACTTTAATTATTTCGTGCACACGTCGAAAGTAAAAGTGATGTGATTGTCTTTTGCTCCCAAGTCCCAACTACCGAAAGTCTAAATTATATTTAATCAAAAAAAAAAAAAAAGGCATGACCGCACCTTCCTATGCAATTTCATTGATGTTACGAATTCAAATATATTTTCTGATTAACTTATTATCTGACTTTTCACGGAGCATTCACATAGATTTCTAGCTCCATGACAAGATTGGATCCGTGGTTATCATGTTATGAATTCAAGCTAAGAGTCAATATGTATGAGAGATGATCAAATCAATAGTTCTTGATTTTGGGGTGAGTTATAGTGAAGTGAGCACCAACCCGATCACATCTCTAAATATGGTTGCCAAAAAGAGACTAACTTGATATTATTCTTATTGGTTTCGAGAGTTCAAAATAACCAAACATAATTTCCAAGCAAAAATATACACACGATTAATGATAAAAGCTTCACGAGTTTGCAAGCAGCTTCCACACAAACCTAATAAGCAACAAACTAGATGCATGACCCGCGCCTTGCGCGGGAGAAGGTTGATGGTCACAATTTTTTGTATAAGTAAAGAAATAGTTCAATCTTTAAAAGGGTTGAATATTTTGTGTCTTTCAATAAATTTTTTTATATACGTATAAATCAGTGTTTTCACATCCGACCCGAACCGTTCGGTATGATCGGTTAACCTGTGATCTGTACACTTCTCCGGTATAGGTTTAGTGCTAATGTCCGGTAAATTTATTTTTTTTGCTCAGATGTCTAGTTTTTTCAAAACTGAAAATAAACCCCACAAAAATCTGTCATTAACCCGTAACCTGATGATTCGGTTGAACTGACCGGGTATCAGATCAAAAACACATCATTTGATTTTGAAATAAAATATAGGATTTTAGATTTTTTTTGTATTCACTATTCGGTTATTTTTAAAACTTTTTCAGTTGTTCATATTCATTATCTTACTATCTTAGTATATTTTATGGTTTTAGTTGGACTAAAAATTTTTAATCCCTTATATATTTTTTTAGTTCTAATTTTAATTTTGTAAAAAATGATATGATTATTTTAATTCTAATTTTTATATTTATAAAACATATATAAAGATTTTATTATTAATATAAATGCTAATTTATGAAAGATGTAGATATATCCTTTATCACTTAAATATAAACATAAATGTTTGTTACATTTTAATGTTTTTGCTAATTAATATAGATATCTAATGTTTATATGGAAAAAATGTAAGGCAGTTGTATATTTAGTTTGGAAGTATTAGTTACTTGATAAGATTTATTTAAGGTTGGACGTAGTCTCTGTTACATTTTAATGATTTTACTAATATAGAGATAAAGATGGACTCGTAGCCTCTTTTATTAATATTAGTTACGTAATTATTTGCTTAAGTTTGTGGTATATTTATTTTGGAAAGATTTGTTGCATAATTATTTGTAATTTTAATTAAAAATTCATTTTGATTAGTGGGATATATATTTGTATAATATTAATGGCAAATTCTGTAAATAGTCTAATAAAATTTGGGCAATTATTTAAATAAGTGGCAAATCATTCTGAGAGCGACACGTCAGCATGACAATCTTGTTAATTACACGTCAATATAAGGTTTGTTTTTTAAAATGTTTCTCTATTAATATATAATATAAGGGATATAAACGATTCCGTGTTAACAAATATATATGACGTGATAATGCTTTTATCATGTGATGTCTAACATGCATGGATACTACGTCATATTATATTTATAAAAATAATTATATTAATACGAGAATCATCATTAACTTCATCAAAATTTCCAAACATTCGATTACTGTATAAAATAGCATTGACATGATTTTACGGATTAATTCTTAATTAAATTTGGACTTAAATTGTTTACACATCATATATATATTAAAAACGAAATTCTTAAAATTTTTATCCAATTTCTTTTATTGCTTTGGTAATTTTGTGAATAGTAAATCCTATGATTTGTTAATTCATATTTTATTTTGGTTAAATAATTTGTTAACTAATATCTTAATGTAAAATATCTAAACTTATAGCGACAAGCATTTTTGTACATATAATTACCGAGTAATAACACGAAGTACATAAATAACTAATGTACTTCGGAAACGACAATAATGACTTATAGGTGGAACGAAGATTTGATCTTATCTACCAAAGATGTTAAGTGGATAAAGAAAAGAAGAAGAAGGCGTCGTCGACGTGCATTTTCCACATCTTGACACAACGTGTCGTCTCGTTGCCATGCAATGTTGCCACACTACCACCAGATCTTCGTGTCTTGTCTCTCTTCGTCTCATCACCGTTTTTGCCTTAAAATCCAATATAGTGTTGGAGTTGTATTTATATAACGCTGATCAAAGAGAACGATCGACGAGAGCTAAATCATTTATGTTTTGATCGACAATGGAATTGATAAACGATTTCCTCAACCTAACTGCGCCTTTCTTCACCTTCTTTGGCCTCTGCTTTTTCTTGCCTCCTTTTTACTTCTTCAAGTTCTTGCAGTCTATTTTCTCGACCATTTTCTCGGAAAATCTTTATGGGAAAGTGGTTCTCATCACTGGAGCGTCCTCCGGTATCGGCGAGGTTTGGTCATAATGCCTTTATTTAAAATTGTAGACCTAATAACCTAATTGGTCGTTGGTACGTACTATATATAGTACTAGCTAGGTTTCAAACATTTCTTCTTAAATGTTTAATTTCTTTCGTAACCTTTCGGTACTACACTTATCTATTTCTCTAACTTATAATAGTAGAGTAAAACATGAGTTTTTTTCCTAACGAATATGAATAAAAAATTTAAACAATATTGCTCAAACATGAAAAAAAAAATATAAACGACGATATTTTTGTGGAACGAGATAATATATTTATATGTTAGGAAAATTATTGATTTGAGTCTATTGCGTATATGAATTGTCAGCAATTGGCATATGAGTACGCATGTAGAGGTGCATGCTTGGCCCTGACCGCCCGAAGGAAGAACCGTCTAGAGGAAGTGGCAGAGATTGCTCGTGAACTCGGATCTCCCAATGTTGTCACCGTTCATGCTGATGTCTCCAAACCTGATGATTGTAGACGCATCGTTGATGACACCATCACCCATTTTGGCAGATGTAAGTCACGCCACGGACCTTTTTTGTTACCATTCACAAGTTTGGTCTACAAAACATTGAATTTCTTTGGTCTTGCAGTGGATCATCTTGTAAATAATGCTGGGATGACGCAGATTTCAATGTTTGAGAACATTGAAGATATAACAAGGACAAAAGCAGTTTTGGTAATTAAAATAATTAAGCCAACCCTTTAGTTTTATTCGTTAACCTATCTTTAATGACTGATTTATGATTGATTAGGATACTAATTTCTGGGGGTCGGTTTACACAACTAGTGCTGCGCTTCCTTACCTTAGACAAAGCAATGGCAAGATTGTGGCTATGTCGTCCTCTGCAGCGTGGCTAACTGCTCCAAGGATGAGCTTTTACAATGTAAGTCAATATATATATGCACTTTTTTCTTAGTGAAGTAAGATCTTAGGAACTGACGAATATTATTATACATATAACATGTTAATTAGGCAAGCAAAGCAGCTTTGTTGAGCTTCTTTGAGACGATGAGAATTGAGCTTGGTGGCGATGTACACATTACAATTGTCACACCTGGTTATATAGAATCCGAACTCACACAAGGCAAGTTCTTCTCTGGTGAAGGCGAGTTAATAGTCAATCAAGACATGAGAGATGTAAGTTAAATTAATCTAACTCCTTAAACAATATAATTAATATTGAGGTCATTGTTGAATTGTGTTCTTTTGTACAAAATTAAATAGGTTCAAATAGGACCCTTTCCGGTATCATCGGCATCAGGATGTGCCAAGGCGATAGTGAACGGTGTTTGCCGGAAACAAAGATACGTGACAGTACCATCGTGGTTTAAGGTGACATACCTTTGGAAAGTGCTATGTCCTGAGTTGATTGAGTGGGGTTGTCGGTTACTGTACATGACTGGAACTGGTATGTCCGAGGATAGTGCACTCAACAAGAGGATCATGGACATTCCTGGTGTACGTAGTGCTCTGTACCCGGAATCTATCAGAACGCCAGAAATCAAGTCGGATTAGAGAGATGTTGATGCATAATAAATAGATGAGATGAGATGTATCTTGAGTATGTGCAATGAGTAATAATAATCAAAGAAATGGGTGAAAATGTAGGTTTGTTTTTGTGAATGGTACTTTTGACTATGTATATTAACTATGTGTCTTTAAGAATAAGTGAGTTGCCTAATACCAAACGTGTATCGAAACAGAGGATAATCGAATTATACTGAAATATTTTCAACTGAATTTGAACAAAATGTATAATTTTATCTATCCGTTGAAAACAAAGTTGCTAAACAAAAGTTTCGAGGTTTGCGTAGTCAAATTTTCTGTTAGTATGATACTGTCTGTTTTGATTGAGCGGCCAAATTTATACGGATTTGTTTTGGATTCTTTCCAACAAATTATACCAATTTTTCGTTAAACTTAACTCGTTAAACTATTTTTTTAATACTTCGATGTGTAATTTGGATCAATAATTGATTAGTTCTAAAAGTAATTTCTTTAAAACATGGAAAGAAAAAACCAAAAAAAAAGCAAAGTTCGGTTAAACATATCCTAAAACTAAAACCCAAAAAAACAAAAACTGAAAAGAACTAGAAAAACTAGATGGCCATTCATGTTGTATTTCAGATTTTCATCACTATTATGCAATTATTAAACAACTAGATCGAAACCCGCGCTACGCTGCGGGGTTTTTTTAAAAAATTATTTTTGAAGAAATTGTTTGATAACAAGTGGTTTTTAGAAAACAACATGCATAAAGTGAATTTAACAAATAATTTAAGTCTCAAGTAGTTTTTGTAGATAAAATTTGTTTTAATATAAGTATTTATGGTAGAAATTTAAAAGGTTTCACGAATTTTGTATTTTACCTTAACACGTATATTAGTTGTTTTTATTTTATAAGTTTATATATAAATACATTAGTAAATAACTTTTATATCTTACTTTTAAAAAATCAATTTACCTTATAATCAATTTTTGTATTTGTTTGTTTTATTTTACGTTTGTTTAATTTCTTACAAATGTTAGATTTTTTATATTGTGATATATATAAATATTTTTTCAGCGACTATTATACTTCAACAACCTTAGATTATTTTTTTAAAAATCATTTATGGTACACAAGCAATATTTGAATCCTACTAAAAGTATTTTAATATACTTTTTGTTTTAATAAATAATTTTTTGACCATTAAATCAAAATAATTGATACGCGAAGTTTTTTGTGTGTATTTTTTTCGTTAGAAGCTTAACACTATGAACAAGTTTTTAACTTTAAAACAATTCGATTTTCGAATTAGATCAGATCAATATTATTATGGGTCGACATTTTAACCGAACGAAAACAAACCTAGTAAACCAAACTTAAACAGATCCAAACCAAACCATAACTTACATTCAAACTATTTGATTATATTTCTTCTCAACTCGAACCGATAACCCAATCTATTTATTTATTTAATTAAATAATAATGTTGTAAATACTAATATGTAATGCTTTACCAACGTTGCACTTGATTTAGAGCGTTAGATATTTTTTTCATTTTTTTAATTAATAAAATATAAAATTAGATTAATTTTGTTTAAAAATCTCTACCTTTAAATTTCTTTAAGAATACACAACTAAAACCAAACCGAACCGAACAGAATATAAATCGACCCGAACACAAGCCAAATCATATCGAGGGGTTTTATAGTTCAAGTTTTGATCATTTTGTTAGAAGAAGTCTTTAAAAGATCATATTTTTTTATGATATATATATATATATATATATATATATATAAATGTTTGTCTTCTTTTAAAGCTTAAAACTTTTGCCAAACCCGATAGTTAGTATTTGGGTTGTCTTTTTCTAGCATTAATAAAATTATCTAACTGTCAATAAATATTATGAAAATAAAACTACTTTTGAATTCTAAAACAAAAGATTAATGACTTGAATTGTTCCTTTATTTGAATGAAATGAGAGTTATATTATTTGTATTTGTTGTTATATCTCTGAATTGATGTACACTAAATCAACAACTGAACCTTTAGTCGCGTCAAGTACATTCTATAATTCCAAAGTCCAATTTTTTTTTTTGTTATTGAAATTAAACTATATAAAGTCTAAAGAAACATGGCTGCATGTGTTTGATTATTTATCGTGCCAATTGTTTGAACTTCTAAGAAGCTTCAATCAAACCCGTGAGCTATTTTTTAGATTTTTTCTCCTTCTTAGTAGAGCTGAAAACATTGAATAATGATTAAAAAAATCTAATTTTGAGTTTAAGTAAGCAAACTTTCTCCAACCCATTTGCCTATTAGGTCTCTTCTATATCATATCCTCAATTTTTTCCAAATCTCAGCCTTCACAAACCTTCTTTCACCATTCCTCATGATTCTCTCTTTTTTTCTCAATCAACCACTCATATTTTCTTATACATTTGGATCATGGAGTTTTTTTTATGTTATTCATAAATTGAGACTTCAAGCTAAAATTACCGGTGAAACAAAACATAGAAATTTTTGCACTTTAAGACGAAAAGTAGATGTACTTTTGAAATATTGTTTTATTTATTTACAAATTTAAATATTTTTTACGAGGTTTTTTTTTTCTTTGTAATTTTCTTTTGGTATCTGACTCCATTCGTGAAGCTATCAATTTTATTATTTTTAAAAGAAACCATGTTTTGCATAAAAAAAAAAAAGTATGTTAGCTTACGTATTTGAAAAAAAAACATATAATGGTGTGACTACCTAAGAAATGATTAATAAACACCTTACGTTAAATTAATTTTCTTAATACTCCCTCCGTTTCGTTTTAGTTGTCGTTTAAGGTTTTTTCACACAAATTAAGAAAAGCATTAAATTTTCTGTTTTACCCTTTATTAATATATTTTATAAAAAAATTTATTGGCCGAAACATTAAAACAGTAGGGATAAAACTGGCATTTTCACCAAACATTTGCATTGAAAACCTAAAACGACAACTATTATGAAACAAAATTTAAATCCTAAAACGACAACTAAACTGAAACAGAGGGAGTAGAAATTTAGGCATTGAGCTATTTTTATTTTAATTAATTATTAGGTTGTTCTTTTAAAAGTTTAAACCAATTGGGCTTGGGCTTGGACTTGGACTTGAGTTTAATTTAATAATTATTAAGTGATGTGGAATTGGAAAGAGTTATTATTGGTTGAGAAATCTGAGTTGTATTAATCGAAATGTTTTGATTGGTTATTGATTTTAATGAGGTGTCAGTCCCACAATACTCCAAAATGCTGAGGTGTCAGCACTGGAGAGACTTTTGTTGTTTTTATTGTATTGATACAAGTGGTTAATTCCTTTTAGGCTTAGAGATCAGAAGCTCAGGGCAGATAGCACTAAGCCAGAACAGGACACGAACCCAAGACGGCTCTGCCACAAAGGTTTTTCCCCTACATATTCCGTTAACAACCGCTTTAGCGCATACCGCTGCTGACTCAATGGCCACAACTTGCGACCACTCTTGTTTCTGAAAGGAGACCAATTCATCAAAATTCTGACAAACACGGATAAAAGAGGAAACAAACGTATGTATTATGATGGTATTAAAATACCTCAGCCAAAAGGTCCAGATTGGTATTTCCGTTTTCGATTAGACCCGGAAACACGATTGTCACACCAATTTCTGGATGAAGCTCGATCCTAAGAGTCTCGTAGAAGTTAATCATAGCTGCTTTGCTTGCCTGAATCAAATGTTACAGTAATTATGTTACATTTAATTTAGAGGAAGAAAAAGAAAAGAAGAACCATTTACAGCATATATGCTCATCCTTGGCACTCCAGACCAGCCCGCAGGCGATGCAACCGCTATGATCTTTCCTTTTGTTTTCTTGATATGCGGTATAGCGAAATGTGTCGCGTAAACTGGTCCCCAAAAATTAGTATTCTGCAATTTATTCACAATATTGGAACCAAGTCAGATGTGAAAAGTTCACTAAGATTATTGTGGAGTATAATGCATACACATATTCATCTTTCAGATACTAAGATTTGATTACTATAGAAGATTATGTGAAAGTTCACAGATTGTAGAAAAGATTTAAATATGAATTAAGTCTAAAAATTTATACCACAATGGGAAGAACATCCGAAATTTCTGAATAGTCCTCGAAAAATTTGGCCTCCACAATTCCTACATTGTTCACCAGGTGATCCACTGACATGAATTTTGTTAGATTTTTATGTTGTTTAAGCAAGAAACAATATTAGTTATTCGAATAATCGCGACTAACTCACATCTTCCAAACCGAGAGATGGTTTCTTGAACAAAACGTTTACAGTCTTCTATGACTGAGACATCACCACGTACCACGGCAACGTCTGGTGAACCAAGCTTCCTGCACCTGTCAGCAACCACCTGGAGACGATCCTCTCTCCGAGCAACTAGAGTCAAGTATGCTCCTCTACGAGCATACTCATACGCGAGGTGCTACACCATTAAATCAAATTCAAAATGCTTTGTTTTTACCAATAACAAATCAATTTATAAAAAAAAAAAGGAGATCAAGCTTTTCTTGGATTACAGAACTAACTAACCTCACCAATTCCTGAGGAAGATCCGGTGATGATGACCACTTTTCCGTCGACTTTCTCGGATTCTTTGTATCTCTTTATGAAACCGAGGAGCTTGAAGAATATTGTAAATGGCATGAACACTAAAAGAAACGAAACCGTGACAATTGGAAGAAGGATGTTAAGAATCTTGTTGATTAAAGCCATATCCTTGACTTTGTGATTCTCCTTCAATAGAGGCTAAACTACAATTTATAAACTTTTTAGTTTTCTTCTGTTTAGATGTCACTGTCATAGACTGAGTATTTAAGATCAAGGGTAAGAGAATCTCCAAATCATAGTTTGGTATCTTTTGTGTGTTAAATGTTTGTCCTCATCCAACTTCTGTTTTTATCAAATATTTTTCTCAACTTGTGGAGAAATATTTTGGTTTCCAATTTCCAACTCTATTTGTTTGAAACCTCCCTCAACAACAAATAATGTCACTATGCAATAAACCATAACAAACTCACTATAGCTGTCAAAATTGCTGTTAATTATATAAGATACCCCTGGCAAAATGACAACTCAAAAAAGCCAAAAACCGAAATCGAAAATAACCAGACAAAAATTCAGAACCAATACCTTCACATAGATAGGATCATAGGGGCCTGTAAATTGATGTACTAAAATAAAAGTGGATTTCAGATTGTCTTTTGGACCGAACCAAGTTAGTAGATACAAAATACAAGGAGCCAACTTCTAAGCACTCTAAAGTCTAATTTCCAATACAATATTCAACAAGGAACTATTACTAAGAGCAGCATTTCACAGCACCTTTAAGGTTTGGAAGTTAAAGCTTGTTAGATAGGTCCTCGATTACACCTTTCCCATCCTCTGCATCAAAGTAGAAGAAGTTTTTCAACGGCTCTCCTTTGCCCGATATAACTTTTATCACCTCCTGTACACACAATACAACTTTCTTTACGTCACATTGCTCTGCTAAGTGCTTAATCTATATAATTAACGAAGTCCTATAGAAGCGAGATAGAGAACCGTACCTGTCCTAGAATCCCTCCAATGATGGCACAAGCTGGTGGGAATTCTGTGTTACCAGATACTAGTCTCTCCAGGAGGCTATCTGGAATATGATTCTCGCTAATCGACTGTTGCAACATTCGGATTCAAAGTTGAGTGACATAGTCTGTTCTTTATCATTATTATTGTAGTGCTTACGAATAAGAGTTAGAAAACTTACATTTCCTTCACACAGTTCCTTTTTGAGTTTCAAGACTTTTGGGAGATCAGACAGCGAACATTCCCCAGGTTTACGCCCTTCAGTTTCCTCAAATAGTTCTATCACTGCAAGAATATCACAAAACCAGATTAGCTACTACATAGGAAGTAACCAAGCTTTCAACGGTTAGCTGTTGTTAACCAGACCTCTCATTGCAAAGTAGAGCTTTGCTGTTCTCCTTGGAATCGGTTTCCATGGTACTGAAACTGCCTCCTGGAGGAATAAGACCAGTCAATAGATTAAATCTCTATTACTTCTTCTCATGCGACAGTATGTTACTATGTTCCAGGAAATTAAGAAGTTAAGTTTGTTCGTACCTCAAAACTTGAAAATGTTAGTTCACATTCCACTGTTTCATCAAGCTTTTTCTGTGGAGCCAAAATTGACAACAGAAAAAGAAATATATTGCAAAGTTAACACATTATATGCTCACAAAAAGACATGCGATAAACAACCGTTAAAAGAGGAAAACGAGATAAGTACCTTTGTGTACTTATAATTCTGCAGGTCGACAAATATTTCGCCACATGAGCCTCTACAATCAACTGTATAAAACGCCACACGTTTTGCTAGGTTCCTACATTTTTCATTAACTGCTTTCTGCATAACAAAGCACATTATTTTAAGTGATCTATCTACATAGCAACAAAACAACTGGAACAACTAAAAAAGGAGGTCTCAGTACCTTAGTAGCACGAGAACTGTAGCCGATAACCACAACATCAAACTTCTCGAAAAAATCAACGCCAAATGTTGACAAATCACCTGAGATTGAAGACATAGACTCGACGTTATTACAATCATTAGTCTCTACGTTGTTCTCGGAAATTAGAGAGATTTGAAGAAAGGGGGAGAAACCTTTTTCTATTGAAACATGGACCATAGGGTTAAATTCCTTAAGTGAATCACAACAAATCTCAGCTACGGTTTTGCCAACATAAGCATTTTCATCAGGAAGAATCAAGAAGTTCGCGTTGAATGCTTCCGTTGTAACCAATCGATCATCCAACAGAGTCACGCTACCAACTCCTGCCAACACAATGTTCTTGCAAAACTGCAACACCAAATGGAAACCAAGTAAGATGCTACACTCTACTGAAGCATTACTAACAGAGCTTCACTAAATAGGTACCTCAGCAACAGTCCCCTTAATTCCAGATACCAAAACATGAGATTTACTCAATCTGCAAGCAAAACACCAATCTCAAACTGCATCAAACGGAAGCAATTTACTCGAAACCAACCAAGCGAATCATAACAGCAAATCAATAACAGTTCTTGCTTGAAGCCATTGAAGTTAGATTCAATGTGAAGTACCTTCTTTGAGCACCAGCGCCCCAAACCCTAATTTGGCGGTCGTATAGAGCAGTTTCTTGCTCGGTGAGCTCTTCTCCGTCCATTCTCTTAGTGAAACCCTAGCCAGCGAGCTCTAAGAGATGATCAGATCAAACCCGCGAATCTACAACTGGGTTTGAGGTTTTTGTTAACCGGAAAATTGACACACATGGTTTGGTTTGGTCCGGTCTGTTTTCTAAAGATCTAAATATAATTATTAATCGATTTCCTTCTTCTTTTTCGCCAACTTAGTAGTATAATTCAAGAAATTAATCTAATCAAGAGTCTATCTGGCCCCAAATTTTATCAGACCGGCACTGTATAGCTGTTTTTTTTTGTTTTTTTAAAAGATCTTAATTTTTTCTATCGTATTTGGCCCCAAATTTTATCAGACCGGCACTGTATAGGTCACTCAATTTAGCGGTGGAGTAACCGCTGACATGTTGCAAGCCACCCTAAAATGTAAACGAAAGCTTTCGTGTAGTTTTAAACATTCAAACTTGCGCATGTGCTCAATTCACTTATTCTTTTCTGGCTAACAGTACATTATAACCAAATGTATCCAACGTGAACTAATTCAATTGTTTAAAAGATCCAAAAATTCAACATAAACCATAGAATTTAAATAAGGATACACACACTAAATAGTAAAATTATGGAGTTTTATCTTACAACCTTACCATTTTTACCAACAAAACAAAAAAGACTTCCAAAATTTTCATCCACCTAATTCAACATAAACCTTAGTATTTAAACAAGTGAAAAGAATGTTTTAAGTTGGAAATCGATGGTGATTTTTTATTAAAAAAATATTAAGACATGGAAGACTTTCTATACGATTTTATTTTCTTTTCCTGATAATTGACGTTTGAGCTTTGTGACCCGTGAATGAAAGTCAAAGAAATAATCAAATAACGCGTATCGGAGAAAGAAAGAAGAAAAAACAGCAGAAGATGTTGTGTAATGCGAAGCACAACATTCACATGCTATGTTTTGTTTTGCCGTAATCAACTAAGCATCCTATTCCTCTTTCTATAGTATCACTTTCCAATTAATTATTTACTTTCATCAATCATCAAAGCAAGCATAGTAAAAATTTGAAAACTAATTTATTTTGGATAAGAATCAGTAAAAGATTCAAGATTTTTGAGTATTTGAAAATTTCAAAACTATACTCTATTCATTCATAAATAATCGGATGTTCAGAGTTCAGACTTGATGAAATGGCAGAGAAAAAAAAAATAAACAAAGAAAAGTAAACAAAAAAGAGTTAGAAAAAGAACAAACAACAACAGCTGTCACTTTCCTCCATTTTTTCTTTTCTTCTCTCTCTTTACTTACTCAAAGTTTTTAAAAAATGATATCAATAAACCCTAAATCAGGAAAGCAAAGTTACAATTAAAGTAAGTAAATCATTTCTTAACTTAGTAATAGCAATTATCATCACTTTCTCTCTCTCCTCTTTCTCTTATTTGCATTATTGAAGTAGCAGCCACACTTGTTGTCTCCACTTTCTCTTGCTAAACCCCATCATCATCTTCTCTTTTCTTTTTTTTTTTCACTTGTCTCATTTTTTTTATCTTTCTCTTTTGGAGTTTCTTCTTCTTCTACTGACTCTACTACTGTTAGGTGTGTATGGATTTGGTAAGATTTCTCAACCTTCAAACACCAAACTTTTATTTTTCTATAATTTTTTTTATGTAATAACATGTTTATATCTTTCTTTAATCTTTCCCTTTTTTATTGCATTTTTTTAATTCTTGCTTGGAATTGAGTAGACAGAAAAAAAATTTTTTTTTTTTTTTGCTTTCTTCCCATTTTGTGGGATCTGTTCTAGTTTCTATATTTCTGCACTTCTCATTCGTTTTTTCAGTACAATTTGTTTGCCTTTTTTGGGATTTTTTGTTTTTTTAATGTTTTAATATCAAAATAGATAATTGTGTTAGAGCTTCAACTACAAATTCAGTGTACTCTTTTAATTTTTTTTTTTCCTTCATATGTGTTGAAATTGAAGTTTAATTGTGTTAAAGATTGATAGGTTTTGTGTTTACCAGTTGTTTTTGCTGTTTTTTCTGAAACAATATCAAAAAGGATAAATCTTGAGATTGTTGGATTGTGTTTCTTTTTTTTTTTCTAGTGAGAGAAGAAGACCAAAGGAGAAGAAAAACGCAATCTTTGAATGGACTGGAATTTCAAAGTTAGCTCTGGTTATTTATCTGGATTCGATCAAGAACCGGATTTATCACCAATGGATGGTTCGATCTCGTTTGGTGGGTCTTCACAGTCAAAAGGGGATTTTTCATTTGATCTGAAACTTGGAAGAAACAATGGAATCTCTTCCTCCTCTGTTTTTGGTGATACAGAGCAAGTGATAAGTCTTAGTAAGTGGAAAGAGAGTTCTTTGGCTAAACCAGAGAGTTCAAGAAGCTCGAGTTTGAAGAGAACAAGAGGGAATGGTGTTGGAACCAACCAGATGCCGATTTGTCTTGTTGATGGATGTGATTCTGATTTTAGTAATTGTAGAGAGTATCATAAGAGACATAAGGTGTGTGATGTTCATTCAAAAACTCCTGTGGTTACTATCAATGGTCATAAGCAGAGGTTTTGTCAACAATGTAGCAGGTAATTGATCGAAAACTCGCTTTTTTCGGAGATTGTGTTGTGTTAATGGTTAAGCTTCTTGTTTATATGTAAATGACAATGTTAACATTTGTGCCTAATTAGGTTTCATGCTTTGGAAGAGTTTGATGAAGGGAAGAGAAGTTGTAGAAAACGTCTTGATGGACATAATCGAAGAAGGCGGAAGCCGCAGCCTGAACATATCGGTCGTCCTGCGAACTTTTTCACGGGGTTTCAAGGTTTTTGCTTTTTGAAAACTTGGTTTCTTGAATCCAATAGACCTGATCTTGTTGATGAAGAAGCATTGTTTTATATTTTCAGGTAGCAAATTGCTAGAGTTTTCGGGCGGTTCACATGTGTTTCCAACTACATCTGTGTTAAACCCGAGCTGGGGAAACAGTCTTGTAAGCGTTGCTGTAGCCGCCAATGGTTCAAGTTACGGTCAGAACCAGAGCTATGTTGGTTCTTCTCCTGCAAAGACAGGAATAATGTTCCCAATCTCTTCTTCTCCAAACAGTAACAGAAGCATAGGGAAACAATTCCCTTTCTTGCAAGAAGAAGAAAGCTCAAGAACCGCATCGTTGTGTGAGAGAATGACGAGTTGCATCCATGACTCTGATTGTGCTCTCTCTCTTCTGTCATCCTCCTCGTCGTCAGTCCCTCATTTGCTTCAGCCACCACTTTCTTTGTCCCAAGAAGCAGTTGAGACAGTTTTTTACGGGTCGGGATTGTTTGAGAATGCGAGTGCAGTCTCTGATGGATCGGTTATATCCGGTAATGAGGCTGTCCCTCTTCCGCAAACGTTCCCGTTTCATTGGGAGTAGTAGAAGAAGAAGAAGTAGGTAGATAGAATCAGAAAGATCTATTTGTGTCTCTTCTTTTCTCCCTCATTTTCAATGTTCTAAATCATCATTGTTCTTGTTAAATGTTGAATTGTGGGTTTTTTTATTGACATTTGATTAGTTGATGTGTAGGTTGTGTTGGTCTTGTAGTACCCCAATTAGCAGTAAGTTAACAGTTGAGAGTAGATTACTATTTATGTACACATCTTATTCCAATTATAGAATCTTAGAAGAACCACTCTTATCCTTTTGGGTTATGCATTTTAAAACATTTTCAAATCTATATATGAACTTTGTTTTAGTTTTAAAATATGGATTTCCTAACTTGTTTACTTCAAGATTTGTTTTTGTTTTCTTGTTTGTAATTTTACTAGAGATATTGAACCAAAGCTGGTACGAAATTAGCTATTGGCCTGTTTTAGTAGTTTCTTATAGTCAAAACAGAACAAGAGCATATATATGAGAATCATAGGTGTGTGATGATCTTTTGATGGCGTGGTTGTAATCGTGAACCTTTGGCTTTGTGGAGCTCTCGATTGCTAAAATTCGTTCTGGCCAACACATAATATCAGTCACACCGGCCGGTTGATCTAAAGTCGTAAACTTCGTGATTCACCATCTTCTTCTTTAGTCTGTTTTCATCTGTTCTTGATCAGAACATGTTTGATTGATAGTTTCTTCCAGTGCAAACGGTTTAATTAATTGCGAGTATATAGTATTAAGCTTCTATTGTGAAGGTTCATGCAAGATTTGCAATAAGTGACATCAAAGCCTCATGTTGCCGATTCAATGATCGATACTCGGAATGAAGTGGATTATGTTAACGGAAAAGGCGATTTCTCGTTATTGAAGGCACAAATGTTGGTTCATAGTGGCATCCTTTTACCAACACTTCTAATTAAAAAGAACAAACAAAAGAGATGCATTCTTTTTGATTTGAAATGTTCACTATATACCACTATAACACACCTATTAATTCACATTACTAGACCAAAGAAATCTTACAAACAATTGACCTCGTAAGTAATACATATTTTTAAGGTCCCAAACAGAAACTTCATGCATGTGCCGGTGTCAAGACCGGCTCTGGCTATTACTGATGTTGCCCAGTCCGCCATTACTTACAAAGAAGAGGTTGGTCAAATGGAGTAATATTGCATGGAAATTTTGGAACAAATTATTTTTTGGCTAAAACATATTTTAAGATAAAACAGATAAAATTGAAATGGCTGTTGAGATGTTCCAAGAGATTCATTATAGATGCCTATGTTTGTTGGCCTTTCTTTTTCGGCTAAATTTCTAATAACATTTGAAATATATATATACTAAGTACTAACCTATCAATATCGTAATAAAAATGTATAATTGGTCAACTCTCCATTTTGTCATTACTGAAAATATCGAAACAAGCTTAAGTCTAATGCAATGCAAGTTATAGTTCTTCTTTTTTGGGGTTTATATCGCAAGTTTTGATATCATTAAAATAGCATAATAGTTACGTGAACAAGGAAAACATGGTAAAAAACTGATGATATACAAAAGGTAAAAGCATATATAGGAAGAAAAAGTTTTTGTAAGTAAAGATTACGTAGAACTAAGTGCCCGGAAAGTGGATAACGACGGTGAAGACAGTGACAAGGCCAAAGTACAGGAAGGCGTGGAGAAGGATTGAGTATCCGCTCGTTTCCATCTTCCCGAAGTCTACAAAGTTGTTGTTTCCCGGAACCTGAAACAACAATCCCGGGCTTAGCACCACAAACAACACCGTCGCCACCACCACCGCAACCCACTCTGACATTTTCCTCTTTTTTATGCCAACGAGAGAGAGATAGAGAAGTTATCTTAAGAAAGAGAGGAGAGATAGTTAAGTTATACCACTTGGGTACTTGATATTGAAACCCTTGTGGTATGGTTGGTGAAATGGCATAATACTAGTGACATGGTGTTACACGTCAGAAGTGTCGTGGTCAAACTGTGGGTTGATGACTTTGGTTAATGTCCCGAGAGATTCGTTAGACGATGGTTGGGTGGTCTCTCTCATTTTCTAATCACTTAAATGTCTTAATCATTGGGTCTCGTTGACTAAAATAAGAAGTTCGAAATTTCGTTGTGGTAATACTAGTAGATAGGAACTAGGTTTAAATTTATCAACGAATATGATAGATGTTTAGGGCCACTCTCATATTAACCTCTTTGACTTCAACCAAAAAAAAAAAAAAAGTGTTCTCCTACTTGTACTCTTTAAAGTTTCAATGTATCGTCTGGGGTTACTTGAGGCTTTCTTCACGTATGTATGATCCCCATTGCCACCATGAAATAATACAAAACGAAGTATATCAACACAAACAACAATGCCGCCAACCACAGATGTATTCGACCTGCAATTTCATTACAGAAAAACCACAGTTTTAGGTTATGGAGACCCTGTTCTTAAAATGGAAAGATAATAGGAGAAACCGTAAATGTACATACGTTTTCCACCCTTTTGTTTGATCAAGGTTAGCCTTGCCCTTGAGTCAAAAGATACCGACACTAAGCACCTGCGAATCCAAACCCAAAGTAACACTTTTGAATGGTTTCATTTGTTCTTCCTTCAGAGTTTGTATCTATTTGTTTGTTTGGCATCATTGAATCGGTAGTTATACAGTAAAGGAGTAGAGAAAAAACCTTGAATCAGGGGAGAAAGTCAGTGCGGTAACTAAACCGAGATGAGCTTTCTTGACGACTTGGTTAATTTGCATCTTTGTCGACTCAATAATCAAAACATCTCCTTCGAGGGTTCCTCTGCATCAAGAAAAAAACATGACAACCAAAAAATAGTATTTCTGTTTGTCCCCAAAAGTGAGAAGAAAGATACATAAACTTACATTGCAAGAAGCTTCCCATCAGCTGAGACATTAAAGGCAGATATAGAGTTGTTTCTTTTAATAAGCTTTGAACTTCTTCTTCTCCATGATGTTGTATCCCATGTTATAATACTCCCACCATGTTCTACACAAAACAAATCAACTCTCTATCGTTGGTTGAGACAAAAAAAAGGGCTATGTTCTTGCACTGTGAGAATATATATATATATATATATATAAGTTTACCAGTGTTTGCAGCAACGTAAAGAACTTCATTGCCTGAACTGTCTACGAAGAATTTACACGAGGCAAACATCTCGTCCTGCATTTCACAAACACATCAGATCCAATGCAACAATAATGTATACTACTAAGAGCCAAAACCCAACTGACCTTCTCTTTTGATAAACTGGCAATAGCATTAGAAGCATTCAAATCCCAAACCCGACAGAGTGGAGCTCCAAGAGATACAAGAAACTTACCACTTTCACTGCAAACAGAAAGATATCACAATCAAGAAATCTATGTACAATCATTTCTTCAAAGATGATCCCTTTCTCACCTAAAAGTTAAGCTTTTAACTGATGCATGTGCCTGAGACTCATTAAGTAATACTTTCATGCTTGGCCATTCAAAAACCCTCAAAGTCCCATCCTGTACTGCATCAAAAACCAAACACATAAGAACCACCACCACCACCAAAGTTTCTTCCTTTCTCTGTTACTTAAAAGAGATAAATCCTTCCTAGTTCCTACCTCCCCACCAGTAGCGAGCACAGACCCGTCATGATTAAACGAGAGACACAACTGTTGTCCAACATCTTTTAACTCTTTGATCACTTTCTCTGACTCTTCCTCATTATCATCCTCTATAATGTTTTCCCAATCAAACAGTCTGCAACTGTTAGGCAATGCGCAAATAAGACCATCTTGACGAGGATGAAGAGTCATACGATAAGGTAGATCAGTGCCAACCACAAGCCTACCAATCTGTGAAAAACATTGAGAATGTTCAGAGAATTGTGAATTATGATTCACACGAGAGAAGAAAAGAAGGAACTTACAGGTTGTTCAGAGAGAGAATTGGTGTGGAGATCAACACGACAGATTGAGATAACATTAGGGATTCCACTTCGTCCTTCTCCGCCTCCGCCGGATAAAACGATGTACGACGACGACGACGACGACGAGGAGAGATCACCATCATCATCCTGATCCTTAGTGATTTTAGATTTGACAGCTTCTACCGGAATCCAGTCGACGGCGTAAATTGGTATACCGTAAGTCTGCAGATTTGACGGTGGTTGTTGATTACTCGCCATTCTCTCGACGGAGCTCAATGCCAGAGCCAAGTGTAACCTTGATAACGACAAATAAGATGGGCCTCAATCACTGAACATAACAATTGAACACAAGCCCAATAAAGCCCAGTCAAACACATCTGATCGAATTAATTCGAAACGTAATAACCAGGTTATTTATTTAATTTGTATGCCATCTCTCACATAAACCAGTTTGCGACAAGGAGAGAAACAATGACAGCGTCGACGTTCCCGCGTGATACTCCCAGCAAATTCCAAGGGCAAATATGTAATTTCGTCGTTAACAGATTGGCAAAATGAAGAAAAGTTCCACCACGGATTTTTTAATATTAAAAAAAAAAACAATTTTGGTCTTTTTTTTTTTAATTATTGTTTTACGTGAAAATAACTTTAATTATTATCTCCTCTGGCTCTTCTTGCTTTCCCTCTCCTTTCGTCTGTCTCTTCCAAATTTTCTTGATTCCCAGATAAAATCCAATTCCTTGATTGATTATCGATCGTCTCCTTCTCCCACAATTAGCATTTGTAGGCGATTCGAAACGGTCGATCATTCTTTGAATTTCTTTTCTCTGTGAATTTGAATATCACAATTTTCCGAAGAAAACAATTATTTGGTAAGTTCCAATATAATCTTAGTTTTTGTATGCATTTGAAGTTTCTGGAAAAAAAAATCAAAACCTGCGTCTAGTTGTTGATGATGATGACGATTGTCGAATCTTTGTTTAAGAATTTGACGGAGGAGATCGGAATAGTCTAATATGGCTAACCAAGGTGGTCCGTCGAGAAAAAGTCTCTCGTTCTCTGGTCATTCATTTCAAGGAAGGAAAAAAGCTTCAGAAAACGAAGGTGGTGGTGGTGGTGGCTCTGACCTCCTCCCACGGCGATCTCTCACATCTTCTCGTTCTTCCATGTAAATCACCCCAAATTCTTCCAATTTTTCATTTTTTGTTTTTGTAGTTGAGTCTGTTTTGTTAAAAATTGAAATTAATAACATGGTGATTGATTTTCACTATACATAATTCCATGGCTTCGATTTGAACGTATAGGATACATAATTCCATTGCTCTGAGGAAACTAATTGTGACTAATTCATGTTGATGTAGAAGCTTGAGTGGGGAAAGGAGCGGAGAGAGAACGGTAAAGAGACTAAGGTTGTGTAAGGCTCTTACTGTACCCGATAGCACAACTTTATTTGAAGCTTGTCGAAGAATGGCTGCACGTCGCGTTGATGCGTTATTGCTAACTGATTCTAATGCATTACTTTGTGGGATCTTAACAGACAGGGTAAAATATTTTCATGACCAGGATTCTAATGGAAATTGTTTTTTTGCTTATCTATTTCTCTCTTTTGGTTTTAAGGATATAGCAACAAAAGTGATTGCTAAACAACTTAACCTTGAAGAAACACCTGTATCTAAAGTTATGACCAAGAACCCTGTTTTTGTTTTGTCTGATACTATTGCTGTGGAAGCTCTTCAAAAGATGGTGCAAGGTTTGTAATGCTTAGGAAACATATTTGTCTCTTGTTCTTTCGTAAATTCTTTGTTTTCATGGTACTTGAACTGACAAGTAGATATGCAGGCAAATTTAGACATTTGCCGGTGGTAGAGAATGGAGAAGTTATTGCGCTTCTCGATATTGCAAAGTGTTTGTATGATGCAATTGCCCGCATGGAAAGATCAGTTGAGAAAGGTAAGGCTATTGCTGCAGCTGTTGAAGGCGTTGAAAAGAACTGGGGAACATCTATTGCTGGTATGTTAAAAATATTGTATTAAGTATCTCAATTTGATTCCATCACAACTCCAGAACAGATTTTGATTGTCTTCTTGATTGGCTAGGTTGTGTTAAACATAAATTATGTCTCTGATGTCGTTTTTGTTGGAATATAGGACCAAACACTTTTATGGAGACACTTAGAGAACGAATATTCAAGCCTTCACTTTCAACTATAATTCCAGAGAATACAAAGTAGGTAATATCTCCTCTATATTTAGTATAATCTTTGAAGTCATTTTGATCTTGTACTTGTTTTATTAAGAGCAATGGAAAGCTTAACGAGTAAATTTGGAAACGTACAGGGTTTTAAAGGTTGGATTGGATGAGACTGTATTAGGAGTAACCATGAAGATGGTCGAATATCAGTCTAGCGCAGCCATGGTGATGGTTGAGAACAAATTAGTAGGGATTTTGACGTAAGTGTTACATTTGGACTCATGTCTCCGTTTTCGTATATGTTTGGAGGATAAGCATGTTCTGCTACTTGGTTTTGAAAATTTTGTCTCTACCACATCATGTTTTATAATTTTCTTATGGAGCTTTGATCATAAACTGTGATTCTTGTTAGTTCAAAGGACATCTTGATGCGGGTGATATCCCAAAACCTTCCTCAAGACACAACTACTGTGGAGAAGGTAATATTTTCTTAAGTCGGGTTTTTGGTAATATTTATATCAATACTCATTTCCTGTCTTTGTTGTTTCTTTTCAATTATTTTATAGGTTATGACACAGAACCCAGAATCTGCAACAGTTGATATGGCTATTGTTGATGCCTTGCATATCATGCATAATGGAAAATTTCTGCATCTTCCTGTATTAGATAAAGGTAACAAAATGTCTTCAAAACTGACTTTGAGCAATAAATTATGAAACATTGTTATTGCAACACTTGTCTAATGTTGATGATTTCATACAGATGGAGATGTTGTTGCTGTGATAGATGTGATCCACATAACTCACGCTGCTGTTACTACGGTAAACTTTTTTTTTCTTTATTATTCTCTTCTTGTTGAAGTCGTAAACATGAGACAAGATCGATAAACAATCCGAGAGAAGAAAGAACATGATATATTAGTTGCCATTTCTTGTTTTGCTATAAGCTCTTATTTCCTTTTGACAAGGCGGGAAGTACGGCTGGAATAAATAATGAGACAGCAAACTCAATGATGCAAAAGTTTTGGGATTCTGCGATGGCGTTATCGCCTACTGAAGATATAGATGAAACCAGGAGGTTTCTACTCATTTTCCTTTGAACCATTTAGTTTTGACAATAAGCTAGTTTCTTAAAGTGTGTCATAAAATTTTGCAGTGAAGAAGAATCGATGAAATTATCTTCGGAGATAGAAGGAACAAAATCATTCTCATATCCAAACACATTTGCTTTCAAACTACAAGATAAAAAGGGACGAATGCATAGATTTATGTGTGGTACGTTAAATCATAACTCTTGAAAAACAGGACACTTTTTATGCCAATGCGGCTGCAGAGTCCATTAACCTTTTGTTTTTACTTTCCAATTACAGAAACACAGAGTTTGACAACTCTGATAACAGCAATTCTACAAAGAATGGGGGATGATATTGAGCCTGATAACTTGCCTCAGATAATGGTACATATTTATTCGAAAACTTTTTAAACGAGAAGACGAAAAGTTCTGCTTCTTTTCTTGACATGTTTTGTGCTGTATAGTACGAAGATGAAGACAATGACAAAGTCGTTTTAGCATCAGATAACGATCTTGGAGCTGCTGTAGAACATGCAAAATCAATAGGCTGGAAGGTAATAAATTGTACATCTATTCTTTTTGTCACTTGATGCAAAGAACTAGGATGAATTGATACCTTAAATCCGCGTTTCGGTTTAAGAACGTGTTTTTCGGTTTGGTTAATGTGGATTTTGGGCTAAAGAACAATATATTTGGGTTGGGAATTCCAAATGATGCAGGGTTTAAAATTGCATTTGGACTACACAGAAGAAAGAGGGCACAGGAGAGGTCTAAGCTCAGAGGATATGGACTACGACCAGTCAAACTCATGGGCAGCCGCTTACAAAACGGTTGCAGCCGGGGCTGCTCTTGCTGCTGGACTTGGAGTTTTGGTGTACCTTAAGCGCCACTCAAACTAACAGATTCATTTTGGGGAGATACAAAAGTGAATGCTTTTGCAAACCAATTTTTAAAACCTAAGCTTGCGAAGTATACCTCTTCATTTATTTGTGTTCGTTGTTTTTTGTTATCTTGTTGCTCGTCATCATGCTTATTTGTTTTTCAACTTTACACATGAATTGTATATATAAATAAGTAAACATTTATTTGTATTGACGGTGTTGTCCAAACTTTTCTTTGAAACTGAAAATTATAAAAGTAAGTAACCATAAATAAGTAACTTGTTCTGACTCATACTCTGTAAAAGCTGATAATATCGGCCCAACATTGTTCTTCATCGTCTCTGGATAATCGCCAAACACCAGCCGATGTAAAATCCTTACGGAAATCGAAACAAGAAATTCAGCGATCAAGATATAGTAGATGCTTCAACGTAACATTGGAGTCTTTAGACTTACCAACCAATAAGAAAATCTACGGATAATTCTTTTCAGTGGGAAACTACTTTTGGACTCATTATTTCTTTAAAGTTCTTGGAGCGTCCTATACTTTTCCATCGTGGAAAAATGAATAACGTAAGCAAAATAAACTTATTGGATAAACCTTGACTGTGTATTTTTCGTTTCCATATGAATGAGCTCATGGTAAGTTTTTGTGTTGAACAGGTGCCTCACAAAACATTCTTCCTAACATATGTTGGCTTCCTCTTTTACCACGTTGCATCGAATATTACTCTTCGAAGGCTACGGCATTCCATTGCTGATATGCCAGATTCTCTGAAATGGTGTTTTGAGGCTGCATGGATACTGGTGCTTTCTTATTTCATTGCATACTTGTAGACTATTGCTATTGCAAATGTATGTTGTCATGTCGTCATATTTCTTTGTTAGAAGTACCCTAGACCGCACCTTACTTCGTGCTTTATCAAATAGTATAAATTCCTCTTATAGTATGCTTAAATGCTTTGTTGGCAAATAGCCCAATTGATAAAGATTCTTAGGCAAAGCGTAGAAATCGCCGAATCAAGTGATATTTGGGAAATGAGTATATAAATGATCTGGTCCCTTGCTTGAGTGTACCGGTCTATGTTTAGAAATCTCTTAGTTATTCAGAAAAAAAAACGCTTTGATTAAATGTTTAATTGATTGATAAAAAATGAGACAAATATTTACAAAGGTAATAAATGGACTTCTACTACATGAGAAAAGGAAAAAACAGAGCTAATGACAAGAAATTGCAGATTAAAGAACTTGACAAAAAAGGATCAGTTTTGTTTTGACAAAAAACGCTTTGTTTATCTACTTAATCATTCTAGAATCATGTTTGGAGACTAAACACACAATAAATATTTATAGGATGTATTGTTATGAAATTTACATTTAGAAAACAATTATGTTATGGGAATTACAAATTTAAAATTATAATTTAGAGTGTGTATTAATTACATTGAGTTGAGAAAATTAGTTAATACACAACTTATATGATTTTGGTTACAATTTAGTATCAATAAAATGTAGATTAATGCATAAAATTAAATATGTTGTATTTGAAATTTTGAAGTTTAATATAAATAAATTTATTTCTTATTTAAGAAAAAAATACTCAAGTAATCCAATAAAGAAACAGTAAAATCATACTTTAATAGATATGATTTTCAAATTATCTTTTTTTGAAAATAAATTAAAAGTTTTGAGCCACTACTAGTAGGCCTGGGCAAAATAACCGAACCGAAACCGAAACAAAAAGAACCGAACCGGAACCGAACCGAAATTTTAAGATACTCAAATAGATCCTAAATTTTATAACCGAAAGAACCGGAACCGGAACCGAACCGCAATAATTTCGGGTACCCGAAAATACCCGAAATATGAGTTTATATCTAAAAACATTAGTTATTTTTAGATCGAATAACCAAAAATATCCGAAATACCAATAAATATTTGGAAAATATATCAAAGAAAAATTAAAATATCCAAAAAATACTCGAAAATATCCGAAAATATCCAAAAAATTTCAAAAAATATCTGAAATAAAATATCTGAATGGATCCTAAACTTCAAAACCGAAAAAACCGGAACCGGAACCCGAACCAAACCAAAATTGTTTGGTTCTTATATGGATCCTAAACTCTAGAACCGAAAGAAGCGGAATTAAACCGGAATCGAACCAAAACCGAACGGATACCCGAACGTCGAGGCTTTAAGTTTACTACTATGCCTTGGTGGCGTCACAAAAATACATTACCTCCTTTTTTTTGTATTTAATGGGTTAGTCTTCTTTTTTTTTTTCAGCCGTTGACTATGACTTGGTGGCGTCACAAACTAGAGCTCCTAGTCAACGACCGATGGCTAGTCTTCGTCTGCGCCATGTGGATCCAATCCGTCGCCGGCGTCGGTTATCTATTCGGCGGCTCTATGTCTCCAGCAATCAAAACTTCCCTTGGCTATAATCAGAAACAAATTGCTCTTCTCGGTGTTGCTAAAAACCTCGGTGACGCCATCGGATTCGTCTCCGGTGCTTTATCTGAGGTCTCACCTTCCTGGGTGGTTCTTATCGTCGGTGCAACTCAGAACCTTGTTGGCTACGGTGTCGTTTGGCTCGTCGTCACTGGTCAATTGCCTAATTTGCCTCTTTGGATGGTTAGATAAAATTTTCCAAGTCAAAATTGCATACACATCTGCGATTATAGAAAGTAACAAGTTTATTTGTTCATGTAGTTGTTTGTTGCTATATTCGTGGGAACAAATGGTGAAACTTACTACAATACAGCATCGCTTGTGTCATGCATTCATAACTTCCCAGAAAGTCGTGGTCCTGTGGTGGGAATCTTGAAAGGGTTTTCTGGTTTGAGTGGAGCAATCTTGACTCAGGTTTATTTGATGTTCAATCCTTCTCATGATTCTTCGGTTATTCTCATGGTTGCTCTTGGACCACCAGTTGTGGTTGTTGCTCTTCTATTCGTTGTTAGACCTGTGGAAAGAAGTTGCAGGACGAACTTGCGTTCTGATGATTTACGATTCTTGGCTATTTACGGTTTCTGTGTTGTACTTGCAGTATATTTACTAGGATTGTTGGTACTTCAGAGTCTTTTTGATATAACTCAAAAAATTATCACAACCTCTGGAGCCATCCTTGTTGTTTTCATGGTTGTTCCAATTCTTGTTCCGTTTTCATCGGTTTTCATCTCGGGTAATAATGTTGCCTTAGTGAAGTCCGAAGAAGGAACTTCCAATGTGGATCAGCATGAGGTTAAAACTTTAATTGAGAGAAGTGAAATGCCGCTGGAAAAGAAAAGAGCGCCGTGTATAGGAGAAGATTTCACCTTGTTACAAGCTTTGGGACAAGCCGACTTTTGGCTTATATTTATGTCTCTGGTTCTAGGTGTAGGTTCGGGAATAACAGTTATAGATAATCTTGGTCAGATTTGTTATTCCCTCGGGTACAACAACACCAAAATATTTGTCTCACTGATCAGCATCTCCAATTTTCTCGGCCGTGTTGCTGGTGGCTACTTCTCAGAGCTAATCATAAGGTACAAAATCCTAAAACCATTTCACTTTTCATAAATGTTAAGAAGCAACTGTGTTTTACTGACATTTTCATCACTTTCTTCCTCTTCACAAGAAAACTCTCACTTCCAAGAACATTGGCAATGTCTGCGGTTCAGGCGATAATGTCCTTAGGGCTCATCTACTATGCCATAGACTGGCCTGGGAAGATCTACGTAGTGACCATTGTAATAGGAATGGGTTATGGCGCTCACTGGGCGATCGCTCCTGCTTCAGTCTCTGACATTTTTGGCCTGAAGAGCTTTGGTTCTCTCTACAATTTCCAGATCACAGCTTTGCCTATTGGGTCGTTTGTGTTCTCAGGTGTGATCGCTAGTAACATCTATGACTACTACGCCAGAAAGCAAGCCGGACCCTCCACAGAAACTGAGTCGCTTGTCTGCACGGGCTCGGTGTGTTATTCAGTCACATGCGGTCTCATGTCCATGTTGTGTCTAATGGCTATGGTTTTTAGTTTGAGTGTGGTTTATAGGACGAGGAAGTTTTACTTGAGGCTTAACCGAGTCTCAAAGACTTGAAGATAGTGTAACTGTGTAAGCAATTTTCATTTTGTCTTTGGAAGATTCTTGTAAGCAATTTCTACAGGTTTCGTTGGAAGAAGTATGTAAGCAATTTTCAATTCCATACTTAAAAAGCTTTAATTGGTGGTGTTCACAAGTACTTTGATTGAAAGATAATTAGCCTAATAGTTAGATACCTTACATTACATAACCATCTTATTTACTCATCTTAATACATAGAATTAGAGTGTTGAAGTAGTGTTATTTTAAAAACTGATTTATCCTTTATGCTAATTCTGTGTAGACCTCTTAAAAATGGCAACACTGACCTTTGAAAATCGTTGTGGATAACAAGTGTGCAACATGATTGGTTCTTTGAACAATTACTTTTGCTAAGGACAAATTAGGAGCCAGATTTTAAAACCAAATGTTGCCACTTAATAAGTTTATAGATAGAAAAATATCTTTATACTTTTTAGGGAAAATAATAAATCTTTCTTTATTCGAAAAGGTCCATTTCTTACACTGGTTTTATTCGTATTTAAAAACCAAATGTTGCCACTTAATAGTTTTATAGATAAAAAAAATCTTATAAAGATAAATTAAAAAACCTACTTTATATAAATTTGAATTGAGCACTGAAATAGGGGGGGAAAAGTTACCATAAAATGTCATTTATATGCATGTACGAAATCTTTGTCAAATAAGCATCACTTTAAGGTTTCTGAAGTTATAAATTGAGGTTCTTCATTTTGTAATCTAACGAAGAAGAAAGAGAAAAACAAAAAACCATCTACAAGTCTAAAACTGTTCTTCTTGAGTATAGGTATAATTATCTTCATCATCTACGTTACTAATTTGCATCAGTCTTCTTTCTCTTTTTTTTCTCATTTGATTTGTTCACTATATGTTTTTATTTTATTTCGTCATTTGTTTACAAAATGATTGATGTTGGAGTGGGTAAAAAACAACCAGCCCGAACCTGAACCTGAACCTGAACCTGAAATGAACGTGAAAGGATTGCTCTCGTTTCAAGGAGAGTTCGTGTTTCAATCAAATTGGGAATTAGGGTTAGTTAGTTCGTGTTTCAATTTTTGGGGTGAAAAGGATGAAACGATGTTGGTTAGTACATATTAAAAAAAACTGCGGGTGCCCAAAACCCGATAGGATAAATCCATATAAGAATCTATTAGTTCGGGTACCCCGCTTGTTTTAAACCAATGATTTTGTAATATAAAAAGCATATCTATGGACTCAATATTTGACATGAGTCTCGGGTACCCAGCGGATTAAAGTCCATCATTAACATCCCTATGTGACATAATGCCCCTGTATATGCACTGGTCCATAGTGGCGCCTCTCTAGAATCGTTCAAGATATGTATTTCTTGGCTGAATAGCAAGAACAATGAGGAACCGGATCCAATGAAGTGGATTGTTTCAGGGTTTACCAAGACAAGCAGATGCTTCTCGATTGGGAAACCCGGCAACACCAAGTCTCTCAATTCATTCTCACACTGAGTGGAATGGACAAAAGGTTTTGTATACATATATAGGGTAACGTTTGGGAGTTGTATACTAACTAAGCCGGACCAACCCATTCTGGGGCCCTATTATAATTTTTCCAAATAACAATATTAATGATTTTTTCTTCTGTAATAATTTTTTTTTCTCTAAAATGTGGTCCCATTGTAATAGAATTTTTTAAAAAAAGAGTGGGAGTCCCATTGTATTGTTGATTTGTTTCATGTTAATGTGCTCAGGTCCAACTTTACAAACTTGTTACCATCTTGGAACAGTTCAACTCCAAACTGGTCACTTTTCGTTTGAATTTAATTTGTATTTATTGGAGCATATTTTGTTTAACAAATTTTTACCCTCTAGTCCTCTACGAACATGTTTATTAATGATCTCTCTTTTGTTTTGCAGTTAAACAACAATATGTGGAAGAGTTTTCTCTCTTAAGTGTCTACGAAATCATGTGAACAAATTAAATAATTAGAAAACATTAACCTTAGGTAAATTTTAATTTTATAGGGATTACAGGAGTTGTACTTTCTACATTCATATATTATTGTTATATATTGTTTCATATGTCAAATTGAACCATTACATTATGGGTTTAAGTAATAAGAAATGTAATTTAACTAAAATGCAAATTAACATCATGAGCAAATTATTATTAAAATTCTCCAACATTTTGAGCAAATTATGCTTTCACATTTAACATATGAAAACATAGTTTTGAACTAAAGATATTCGAAAATAAGTGTTGTACAGCAAAATTTTAACTTTCAATTTTATAGAGAAAAAAATACATTTTGTATTTCCTTTATTAAGAGTATTGAATAGTAAAAACAATCCTTCTCAATAGTAAATACACTTTAAGTAAAAAAAATCACTTTCTTTGTTTTTTCCTTATTATACCAACTACCAGTCAGTCAACTCACACACATAATGTTAATAACATTAAATATTCTTAACAAAATATTAAATGGGTTAAGATTCACATTTGAGAAAAGATTACATGTTTCTTATCCCACCATATCTTATGTACGCTTAAGCTTTTCCTTTATATATGTGAACCACCACATAAGAAATCTCAAGCCCAGTACCTAGAAACTTCAAACAAAAGATATCATGGAGAACAACACCGGCAACCACCAGCAGCCACAGAAAGATAACGAGCAACTAAAGAGTTTCTGGTCAAAGGAGATGGAAGGTGACTTGAATTTCAAGAATCACGAGTTTCCCATAACTCGTATCAAGAGGATTATGAAGTTTGATCCTGATGTGACTATGGTTGCTGGTGAGGCACCAATCCTATTCTCGAAAGCCTGCGAGATGTTCATCATGGATGTCACGATGCGTTCGTGGCTCCATGCTCAGGAGAGCAACCGACTCACGATAAAGAGATCTGATGTCGCTGCCGCAGTGGATCGAACCCTCATCTTTGATTTTTTGCTTGATGTTGTCAATGAGGACGAAGGAGAGTCCGTTGCCGCCGCTGCTGATCCCGTGGCCGTGCCACATCTTGACGATGGAGAACTGCCGCCGGGAATGGTTATAGGTACTCCGGTTTGTAGCGGTCTTGGAATATACGCGCCACAACCGCAGATGCAGGCGTGGCCTGGAGCTTGGACCGCGGCGCCTGGTGAGGAGGAGGATGTGGCTGGGGGAAATGGAGAAGACGGCGGAAATTAATATTTGGATTGGGTGTTAGGGTTTTTAACCGCTGTTGTGAGAATTTGAGTTATGTTTTTTATTTTATTTTATGTTATGTTTTTTTGTTGTTGTTAATGTTGTGTTTTGTTGGTGTTAGTGTTGTGTTTTGTTGTTGTTAATGTTATGTTTCATTTGTCTTTTAAGTGAATCTAAATAATCTATTTCATAAGAGACAAGAGTACTGTATAACGCTTTAGGTAAGATGTTTCTTCATGTGTGCTAAAACCAGGATGTTTAATTATAAGACTAATATATTTTTCTATCACTTTTACTTGTTCAAGAACTCTCTTTCTGTGTTTGCAGCTGTTTATTATATTACATTTTAGAGGCAACAAGATCCAGAGATCTAGCAACAAACCTTAATTTGAAACCTGAATCTGTTTAAAAAGTTTCCAGCTTTTTTTTTCTTTCTTTTGGTAAGAATTAAGCTTAGTTTTTCAACGGAATATTTTGTCGTGCAAACGGTCTATTTGAGTTTAGTCTTTTAACGAATTTTAGCGCGCTTTTAATGAACTTGACGCCATCGATTCAATTATATCATGAATTATCACAGTTTTGTTGATTTGACCTTTGGTTTTAATTTACAAGTTTTCCGATTTGGACTATTAACCAATTTTTGGCATTTCTATGTTATGACTCCTTTGTGTTTGCAATATATGTTGGGATAAATTTTAGAGGTATCATGAGATCTTAGGATCTAACAAAATACCATTTGAAACCCAAATCTATTTTCATTAGTTTTTCCCGCTTCTTAATTATCAACAGATCTGGCACGCAAATACTATCTTTAAAGCGAAAACTCTATACAGATTTAAATTTGCCACAACTTTCGCGCGCAAACCGTCAATTCGTTTTACATTTTTTTAGATTTAGCATGAGTTATTTGTTTAGGTAGTAGTTATTTAATAGAGCTCAATTAAGGGAAATATCTTCTTTAGAACAACAAATATCTTTGGATCTTAAAATTGTAAGCTCAACCACATTTTAATCACCGAGGTTAGTCAAAGAAAAAAGAAAAACCATAAGGTAAATCCCTGTTAAACTGTAGTTACTGATTTAAACCCGAGGACTAAAGAAAGCATGTATGTCTTGAATGCTTAAGGAAGCACTGAACATTAATATTTGTTGAATGCTCAAAGAAATAACCAACAACTAATTAAGGTCCGACTGAAAAAATCAGTCAAAAAAGGAAGACTTTATTTGTATACCTTGTTGTAGTTACATCGTGATTGACTTGACTGCTACAAAATATCAATCTGTGTGGAAACAATTCCTCGTAGTTGGCATCAAATTATACACGGACAGACATGTACAATATTTAAGAATAACCGAGAAGAACAAAAGAAATAAAATCCAGCACAATAATTTTTAAAAAACTTTTGACAAAATTTAAAGTATCAAACTGAAAGTGAGGAGGCTTTACAGAATAAAAGAAAAGGTTTTTTTTCAGCAGAAAAAAAGAAGAAGAAATTTAATTTCCAAGATTTTCAATATCCAGTAGGGCTCTTTAGAGTAGAGATACTTTGGTTAATTACCTTTTAGAGATTAGATAAAAAGTCTTTGTTCAAAGTATATTTTTCTTGAAACAAAGAGGGAAATTAAAACGCCAATTAGAAAAGATTCATTTCTACAAACAGCAATTTTGTATATGGAAATCATTTGAAATCAGAAAATGAGTTTTTGACTTTTGACTGAAGGAAAAACATACAAAGAATATAAAATTTGTGAATATAGAAAGCAATGTAATATTTACCATAAAAAGTTTTATGCATGTACGAATCCTCATTACCACATGTACCTATCATCCTATAAATTTTCTCTCTTGATGTTTTCACTTTAACGTGAAAGAAGAAGAAGATAAAATTGTTCTTTCTTCGATAATCACCCACAAGAATATGTGTATTTCTTGCTAAATGGCAAGAAAAATGGATATGTGGCTTCAATTAAGAAGTGGATTTATTCAGGGTATTACAAGACTAGTGGATGCTTCTCAATCGGGAAATATAGCAGCAACGGCTCTCTCAACTCATTCTCACATAGAGTCCAATGGACAATATGTGAGAAAGGATTGGTGCACATATATCCGAGAAGAGGCAATATTTGGGCTCTTTATGAAAACTGGTCACCATCTTGGGATATTTCAACTTCAGTAGAAGAAATGAACAAGTATGAAATGGTAGAAGTCCTTCAAGATTTCGACGAAGAGAGAGGTGTGACAGTTGTGCCGCTTGTTAAACTCTCGGGATTTAAACTTTAATTTTAAGTCACAACCGTCACACATCCCTCTTCATCAAAATCTTGAAGCACTTCAACCACTTCATACTTGTCCACAACTTCTTGGGGAGTTGAACTGTCCCAAGATGTTGACCAGTTTGCATACAGAGCCCAAACATTGCCTTTTCTGGGATATATGTTCACCAATCATTTCTCACATATTGTCAACCCAACTCTATGTGAGAATGAGTTGAGATGGTCGTTGCTGCTACGTTCCCAATGGAGAAGCATTCACTCGTCTTGTAAAACCTTGAATCAGTCCACTTCATTGGACCCAACTCCTCATTGTTCTTGTCAAGGCTAAACAATTGAGACGAGAAGATCACAAAGTTCAGGATCAAGATTTTTTGCTTTAACAGCATATTCTTTGGCTCCAGCTAAATTACCTACTATATACTTCTCTACAACTATTGCTTTTGCTCTTCTAGCTTCTTCTCTAACGCTTTCCGCTATTGATCCGTCCATTTCCTCATATCTTCGTCAAAATAGGGCCACAAGATTCTGCAAAACATAGAGATTGATGAGAAAATTAACCATCCCAAAATTGCAACAATATAAGTTCCAATTCTGTAACAATGCTGAAACTTAGCAAAAGCTGATCACATAACCAATTTTTCCAAAAAAGAATTTTTGATTTATTATTAAATTTATTCATCAAAAAGACTATGTGTACATTATATGCAACCTTGTTCTTAGAGATTAAACCATAACTAATTAGAAGATAGATAATGCTTGAACCAAATTTGAAAAATAAAACCCACCACTAGATTATGTAGGACTTTGAATATTTTAACAAAGACACTACCTATTACTTGTAAAGCAATTAACATAGAATATGTAATGAAATACAAGAATACCAAAAAGATGATTGAAGAACGGATATTGACGGTGATTGAAGAACTTTGATGATCTCTCCTCAACTCAAAAATCGTCACATAATGCAACTGCTTGATGATGATTAGAATCCTATGATAAAATTGTTTCTCTTTTGATTCGCAACACTCAAAGTCATAGCGGAACGACTTGTGTTGCACCTAAGAAAAAGTAAAAAAAAAAAGAAGAGAGAAGAGAAGAATTTTGATGTTTATGATCGATGAAGAGAAGGAGGAGACAATGACTTGACTAATATAGCCCAAGCTTAACGTCTATGTATTCATGAGGAGATCTCACCTTAAATAATATAGCCCAAGCTTAACGTCTATGTATTCATGAGGAGATCTCACCTTAAATGAAAAACTTATGAGAATTTGATTCTCACGACAAAGTCAAAAACGTTTTTGACCTTAATTGTCATAACTGATTTTGTGTTGTTTCAAAACTCAATCATTAAGGTAAATATTTTTGATTTAATGACTAGGTTATAACCCCCGCTACGCGGGGGTTTAGTTTTGTTGATTGTTTTCATATATTTTTGAGCTTAGTAATCAAGTAATTACAATAATAATTCATTTTTAAATTCTTTTTAGCATAAATATTGTTTTATTTATATTTTTAATATCATTTATATTGGTTAAAAATTTGTTTTAATAAAAAAAAAACTTATAGGATAAAAATTGGTATAAAACATATTACAAATATGATGTGTCATATTTTACTCAAATATATAAAAAAAGACTTCAAATGATCTAATATCTGAATATCAAACTTGAAACATGAAAATTACTAATCAACATTTAAATGAAAAGAAACAAATGAATACTTACACATGTTACATGTATATATTGTGTACCCTTTGTTTTTATTTTTCACATACCTCTTGATTGATTATTCTATTCAAATTTTCTATTTATTTATCTCAATTATAAAATTTCTATTTTTTTGCTTCAATTTATTGCCATTCTTTCAATTTTATAAATAATTTATTTTAAATAACAAACTGAATCAAAGCAAACCAAATTAATCCAAACCGAATTAAAATGAACCAAAATGAGTTTGATTAGAGACTTAATGTTTTATTAAATCGAAATAACCGAATCAAATTTAAATCGACATCAAACTAAAATGTCGACCCCTAATAGCGATTAAAAAGGGATATTGGCAAATTTGGTGAGACTAATAATGATATTATTTTATATATTCTAATAACAAAAATTTTACATTTTTCTTTTTTGCATATGGTTTTTTTTAAGTTTACATTTTTCTCGTTACCATAGATATTGTTTTATTTTTAACTTTTTATATTATCTTAATTTTCTATTGATATTATTTTATATATTCTAATAACAAAATTTTACATTTTTTGTTTTCCTAGATGTTTTTTTAAGTTTTCATTTTTCTTGCGTCTCTCTCTCTCTCTCTCTCTCTCTCTAAATATATATATATTATTTTTTCCTTTTTATAAGTATATATTAATATAAAAAAATTATTGGATTATAAAATTGCTAATAACTGAGATGGTTAATCGTGATTAGTCTTTTAAAATTTTGTGGACAGTTTGAAAAACTTATAGCTTCGACTTTTATGTAGTATAGAATCTAGTGGTTTCGACTTAAGCTATAAAATATAAAAAATACTCGAAAATAACACGGACAATTACCAAAAAAACGGCCACCTTTAAACTTTGGTTTCTGAAGAAGTTTTGCATGGTTAAAAAAGTAATTCAAAAACAGAGAATTCAAAAATTAATTAAACGATTATAATATATAGAATCCTATATATAGTTACTTTTTTGTAATTACCTTTTTGCTTCTCATATTCTTCTTCTTAAAAATATAATTCTTTTTACTTTTTTATTTGATTTCTTAGTTTTTCATGCATATATTTAACATAAAGTAATTAACAATATCCACATAAGGAAACAATTTGAAAGCTACATAAATTTTAGGATCAATAATACCTTGTAATTGCTTTAAAAGTCACAGTTGAATGAACCTACACTCGATTCATTAGTGTAACCTGAAAAATACAAATCAAACCGTCTAAAATCAGCAAAATTAAACAATATTTGTTTATAGTTCATAGAGAAATAAATCAAAAAATATGTAGCACGAGAAAAAAAATCAAAGCCACGTAATAGTGAATTCTTTTGAAACTGAATACTAATTGTGTGGAAGGTTGAGTATTTATAGTTTATTGTCTAGGGAAACCGTCATCTGTA